CCAATTAAACTATATCATAACAATGTCTTAAAATTGATTATAAAATGTAGCTCAACTTCAGAGCTATTAAAATATGGGGGAAAATTGAAAAATATTAATGTTAATAAAAATGCTATTTCCCATGGCCAAAATATTTAACTACCAAAACATTTCCTGAATGTGAAAGAAATCTCAGGTGGCCAGAAAAACCAAAGAGAAGGACTAGCATTACAATGGGAAGAATCCAGCAATCTAGGAAAAGTACTATGACCCTTGAAAATAATAACTCCTGCTCCTTACATAGCTCCAAAATGATTTGGAACATGGCATAATTTATACATTTCAAAAATAGCTTGAGAAAATAATACTCTGAAGTGATTGTTCTATGTAGATCAAGTTACCCTTTTTAAAAATTTCAGATCTCACATTTTATATAGGCTTTTCATCTGAAATCTTAACATAAGAAATGCTGATCAAAAATTATAAACTATATTTAGTGGTCTTAAGATGACAATTATTATAACAAACAACTGTAAGAAAAGTTAACAAAAGAGTTAAAATATTAAGCTATAGCTGTTTCAATCCCAAACTCACTTCAGATTTTTTTTGTTCAGGCCATTCCTGACTGTGAAGTTCACTCCATTCAGATCTTATAGGTGTATCTGAGGAAAATGAAATCTTACAATTAAAATTAACATCTTTAATTCTTCAAAATTTTTGCATTAAAGTTATACACAAAAATGGATTGATTCTAAATATTTTTAGAAACTTATCACTTCCATAATTTTTTTTTTTTTAAAGACAGGGTCTCACTATGTTGCCCAGGCCGTAGTAGAGTGGCATGATAATAGCTCACTGCAGCCTCAAACTTCTGGGCTCAAAAGACCTTCCCACCTCAGCTTTCCAAGAAGCTGGGACACAGGCATGCACCATTGCACCTGGCTAATTTTTTACATTTTTTTGTAGAGACAAGGTCTTGCTATGTTGCCCAGGCTGGTCTTGAACTCCAGGCCTCAAGCAATCTTCCTGTCTCAGCCTTCCAAGTAGCTGGGATAACAGGTGTGAGTCACCACATAAAAATTTTGTAGTTTTTATTGATTCAAAAAAATTCCTTTAAGTTTCCTTTCTTAAAATTTAATTAAATGAATTCAGTCATCAGAGTTTACTGTAATCTACAGACAATGGGAGAGACTTA